CCACAGCCAGGCCAACCACAGCTGATCTGACCACAGCCAGACCAACCACAGCCGATCTGCCCACAGCCAGGCCAACCACAGCTGATCTGAACACAGCCAGGCCAACCACAACCAGCCAGACCACAACCAGTCTGGCCACAACCAGCCAGACCACGATCAGTCTGACCACAACCAGGCACACCACAGCCCGACAAACCTCAGATAGGCAGACCACAGCCAGACACCTAACCACAAACACAAGTTTAGCCAACAAAATTTACAGCAACCCCATCACCAGTGCCATACACATCCTGCTTGTCTTCCTCATCAGTAGAATCATCTTCTAAAAGGAAGCTAGAAAAAATTTCTGCTCCTGCCTCCACGGCACTCTCCTATATTCAGTTCCAACTCAGTGCTTGAACATGTGTGTCAATGAAGGCTTTACAGTCTCAAATGTACTAGCTCTGCTGCCACTGCTTCTGACCCAAATGGAAACCTGGGGTCACTTGGCAGAGGGTAGCCAATCATCTAATGGACTTGGGTCACACAGACGCTCAACTGGATCTTTCATGGCACAAATTATGCTTTTGGTAACTATTTACTCCTGGCCTAAAGAGCCCTGGTGATGCAATGGTTAAGTACCCCACTGCTAGCCAATAGGTCAGCCGTTCAAGCCCATCCAGTGGCTCTGTGGGAGAAAAGGCCTGACTGTCTGCTCTTGGAAACCCTATGGGGCAGTTCTACTCTGTTCTATAGGCTCACTCTGAGTTGCAATTGACTTGATGGCACACAACTGACCTGGCTCTTACATAACCCCGAGTTCTACCTCTCAGTTTAGTACTAGGGTATTTTATTCCAGGCAATCTAAACTTTTGTTCACTCTCCAATGATTCCTCCCTGTCCCAAGTCTCCATATAAGGAATCTTTTCTAGCTTTTGAGATAAGCTTGGGTTTCTGACCAAACCCAGGCAGGTAATGCAGAGCTTCTGTGACTCAATAAGAAAAAGAGAAGGAACACAAGATCATGCTGCCTCTGGCAACTTCTCATTTTATCAACACCAGGAGTGCTTAGGAGGCCAAAACTCTGGGAATGTTCCTATCTCAGGAGCCAATGATAGAAAAAGATCATTATATGAAGGCATTTTTTTTTTTCCTGTATCACACAAAATAAATTATATTTTGAAAAGTAATATGTTGAATCCAAATATAAGTCTTGAAGGTGTGATTATGTTTCTTTTACTTAAAACACAGAGAATGTTACCTCTTATCTCATTTATGTCGACATTAAAAATTTAATAAAATGATGAGTGTGCGTATATTTGCAAGGCCAGGCCTAAAGGTAAAATTATAGCAAATTTAATTTTCCTCAAGTGCAAGCTGGTTAATTTTCCCCAAATAGTAATTTCCACTAGAAGAAATGAGGAAAATAGTAATAATATTTATGATGCTGCTGATAATAAGCAATAAATACGTATCTTAATAATTATATTAAATTTAAGGATTATGTCAACATTCTTTTCTGATTTTAAAAGTGTGTGTTTTTTAAGAGTTCCATTATACTCTTCCCTCTCTTCCTTAAGACACCCTGATGATAGTCCTCATCGCTCCCTTCTTTAGCTGTTTGTGACTAAAGAAAACCTCCGTAGGAAAATATTTGGTCTACGTATTCATATGTGCTTGACTTACTGAGTAACTGCCATAGAGAAAGCCTGGTTGTGATTCTTTTTGAATGTTCAAGAAAGATATTAGAATAAGCTACACTATTGCTTTTTCCTTTCAAAATTATCCATCTATGGTCCTCACCTTGAATGATAGCATTCTCCTAACATCTTCAGAGACACAGTCCTCACATTAACTCTACACCCTGAGGGAGATGAACACATGGCTCCCAAAAAGACTAAGGAGCCATGTGGAATGAAGAACAGTCCATAGTGCCCATTTCATCAATGTTTATCTAATACCTGGTGTGGCACTGTCAGATAAACACTGGACAGCTGACCACAAGGAAACCCCAAACAGAGTCACCATGAGTAGGAACCAACTCGACGGTACTTAACAACAACAAAAACAAATGAATCTTATACCTTATAACTGTTGATGTTAAAGTACAATTTTTTTAATTCTGTTTTTTCTACTGATGGCCTTCAAGTCACAATTTTCTGCTATTATTATTCTTGCTTTCCTCAGAAAAAGTATAAAAGGAATTTTACTACAGTGTTTTTCATATAAACAATGCTTATCTGATCTGGACAGTGGGTATCTCTTACTGCTTCAGATTCATTTGGTCAATCACAAGTATTTATTGGGCATATACTACATGCCTGTCACTGTTCTGGGCTCTTGAGTAAAACAAATATTCCTATCCCAATAGTTCTTTCCCCATCACCCAATTCCTTAACATGTAAGTTATCAATTCTTAAACTTTTCCTATATATGTATTGTGGTAGGTACTTTCACACACATTGTTGTTGTTGTTGTTAAGTACCGTCGAGTAAGTTCCAACTAATAGCAACCCTGTATTTCCAGGAGTCCTGGTGTGGGCTTGTAGGATAAGCACCCAATCTCAAGGTCGGTTTGAACCACAAGGTCAACAGTTCAAACTCACCAGCAGCATCTCGGAAACCCTATACAAGGTCTCTATGAGTTGGAATCAATCCAATGACACCCAACAAAATCAACAACAGCATAGGGTTTCCAAGGAGCAGCTGGTGGGCTTCAACTGCTGACCTTATGGTTCACAATCCAATGCAGATCCTACAGTGCCACACCAGGAGTCCTTCACACACATTATAGATCATTTAATCTTCACAGGACCCCATGTCCTGAAAGTTGCCTCATTATTATGTACAATCTACATTGTTAAAGATAAGAAAATTGAGGTTCAGAGAAGTTATATAATTAATTGTAGCCACAGTGCTTGTAAAAGGCAGGGCAGGAATGTCCACCTGTCCCAAAGACTGTTATTATCCATTTCAGTATGATGACTCTGAGTCACTCCTGACTTTAACTAGTAAATGATAAGGGATAAGTAGGGTAATAATACTTTCCTGCTTCACTGAGTTACTATGGATTAATAGTATAAGTAGTGGTAGTGATAAAAACTCAGTACCTGGTAGTTGGTTGTGGCGGTTGTACACTGTCACGTCAGTTCCAATTCACAGCAACCTTGTATAGCAAGAGTACAGTTCCAACCATCATATTGTTGTTGTTGTTGTTATGTGCCGTGGAGTCGGTTCCGACTCATAGTGACCCTTTACAGGGTTTCTGAGGCTGTAAATCTTTACAGGAGCAGAAAGCCTCATCTTTCTCCTGCAGAATTGCTGGTAGTTTCGAACTGCTGACCTTTCAGTTCACATCCCGATTCTTAACCACTACGCTACCAGAGCTCCTTAACCATCATATTAGGAGTGAGTTAATACAATCTTAATAAATTAAATGTTTGACCAAATATGGCAGGCTAATTTGTAATTTGATAATTTTGCATGACTCGCGAATGATGTTGTAAATTTTGGCAGGAAAAAAGTTCCCTATCCCTGCTGTACAGGATTTCTAAGGCTGCAAATCTTTACAGGAGCAGAATGCCTCATCTTTCTCCCTCTAGCCACTCGTTAGAAAAACTGTACAGGGTCACTATGAGTCAGAACTGATTCAATGACACTTAATAACAAGATGCCAAAGGAGTCTTGGTGTGGCGCTGTAGGTTAAGTACTGGATTGCTAACCACAAGGTTGGTGATTCAAAATCACTAGCCATTCCTTTGAAACCCTATACTGGGTCGCTATGAATCTGAAACAACCTGACGGCATGTAACAACAACAGAATGCCAAAACAGCTGTTTTGACATGATATAAATGCAGATTTCTTGGGGAAGGGGTGGTGGTGGTGGTTATGTGCCATGGAGTCAGTTCTGACTCATAGCAACCCTGTACAGGGTTTCCAAGGCCTCATCTTTCTCCCACAGAACAGCTGGTAGTTTCGAACTGCTGATCTTGCAGTTCACAGTCCAATTTGTAACCACTACACTACCAGAGCTCATTGGGGAAGGGGTAGAGAGATAGAAACACCACATTCATAAGTGTATAGACCTAGATGGAGAGTATGCTGAGAAACAATAGCTTCACATTTTGATGCTTTTGTTTAATAACGGTTCTATGATTTTATAACAATATTGTTTGACTTACCTCTTGTAACTCTGGAAGTCAGAATTCACCCCCCATCTCCATGGTACTTTGTTGTTTGCAGAGGGCTGCAATCATCCATTTGTTTAGCGGCTTTGTCCCAATCGTTTTTGTAAAAACTATTCCATGAAGTCTCTGTCCCATTATATCACTGATCAGCCTAGTGACATGACAGAGATTTCCCTAAACAGAGAAATCTAGCAACCTTTTTTTCATTAACACTCCCCTGGTTGCAGTAAGGTTTTTTTGTTTGTTTGTTTATTAAATTCTAGTGTTCCAAAAAGTCCATTCTTCAAGGTTTTGCCAACGTCATGGTTACCTCAGGGGAGGGACTGTTTCTTGGCGCTCTGGGCTCTACCACTTTCTGTGCCATCACTCAGTAGTCACTGTTAGTACTGTCATACACTGCGCTGAGCACTTTCCATGCATCATGCCATTTAATCCTCATGGCAATGCTATAAGATCTTGCCATTTTATAAATGAGGAAAAGCAAGCTAAGAGAGTAACATGATTTTTCCAAAGTCACTCAACAAATAAATAGCAAGGCTGGATTTTGAGCACTGAACTATATTACATCAAAGCCTGCACCCTTAACCAGGAAGCTCTGAAGGCTCCCTGAGCATCTCTCACATACCTGGACCCCTCCACCTGCCAGTACAAGTGTCGCAGCTGACAAAGAGAGGATTTAGACTTCACTCACTAACACAATAAGCATTCGCTAGCAGTGTTCCTCTATGCCCCACTTTTCTGCTGCCATCCCCAAGATAAAACAAACAAGCTAGGGACAAGTTTGCTATTGACCTTTCATGGCCAGACATGGTCTTTTTCTCATGTTCAGCATAGTAAGTGTGATAAATATTGACGGTCACAAGCCATAGTCCCAGGAAAGAAACTCTCTAAAACTGGAAACTGTTTAGATTCTAAGAAATCTGAGTTGTTGTTGTTGTTATGTGCCGTGGAGTC